TGGGGACTGGATTTTTTGGATAGAAACAGACGAATGAAGTTCGCTGGCATGTTTTAAGTTACAGCTTTGATTAAAAGGGCGGCATTGACTTTATCAAATAAAGTGACTTATTAAATACTAGCCAAAGATCATACTTGTAGTTGACCTAATTCGAGAGTACTATTAACTACGTGACATATCCAGAACATAGCTTTTATTAAAAACCCACACGCAGACGGCTAATTACATTTTTGCTCACATAATCACTCATGTCATATGCAGGCTATCCAATCTAAGGCCTTTTACACTAGGGGTTGTTCCGTCTTGATCCCACTAAATCTCATCCCACTACGTCACTTTCTTCAGCCAGCCCAGTTTTTATTCTACATTCATCCCAGGACATTTTTTATTATTTATGTTCTTAACTCATCCCATTTTGATTAATCTGCTATTCTTAACTTATACCTTACGACAATTTTCTTATAACAACACGTGTTGTGAGTAAATATAGTTTACAAACAAAATTTAAACGACTATGGAAAAAATTAGATTGACACTTTGTTGCACTGACTGACTAACTAAAGCGCAACTAAATTGAAAATATATTTTCATGTTTAATAAAAAAGTTGATTTAAACAATAATATTACAAAAAGATAGATGTGATTAATATAATGTGTCCATATTTTTTCAGTACTTTGGGCTGAGTTAAGAATAAAAAAATAATTTTAAAGGTGAGATGAGTACTGAAAATGGGTTTAGGATATAAAAATAGGATGAGATCCAGTGGGATGAAGACAAAACAACCCCACTTAGAGAGTAAGGCAACAAATACCTATAGCCTTTGACATCGTAAAAGGAAGACGAAAAATATAAGACGAGAATAAAAACGAAAGAAGCCCACAAACGTGGAAGTCCCTAAAAACTGAAGAATACTATTTTTCTGTATGTAAAAGCTCCACAGTCGTATTTTTTCTGCATAGTCCAAGCACACATTCACAGAACAAGTCACTAAACTAACTATTTTGATTATTAGGCTTGTAGTCGCAAAATATCTACCATTGTCGATTCTAAACGACACAGATGAGATAAAATAAATCCATTAATCCGCTAGGATTCATAAACTTATTCGTAACTTTGATATAATGAGCGTTATGAGCTCAAGTAATGCATAGTTCGTGCTTGTGTATTCTTCAGTTAAATAAATACAGATTAAAAGAATTTTAAGGCAGTTCAACCAGAAAGAAAAATAATACAAATCAGAAATGAGAACTTGTATATTGACTATAGTTAACCTTCTAGAATATATTGCAGTTATGGTAGTTAGTTATTATAAGCTTATTAATAATAACTTATTTAAAATAATAGAACACAATTAGGTGCACAATAAAATATAAAATCTTGAAGAATAAATTTGAACATAAATTGTTAAAAAAAACTATGTGTATGTATTGTTTCCTTACGGCTGGCAACTTTCCCTTTCGTGCAGCAAAAGGTACCAGACGTATAGAGTTATTTATATTGTATTATACGAACGAAATATTGTTTAACTTTGAATATAATTCGCGAAAAAAATACATTTTTATGTAGTTTTATTAAACATAGCTGTTAATTACTTTAACACAACCGATTTCAGTAAATAAACAAAGAAAAGGATCCTTTAACCCAATTACTCAGAAACTAAAAAAAGATATGCACTAACTCCCAAAATTACCTTAGTTCCTGATGAGGATGCTCTCAACCGAAATACGTAGGTCACAGCTTTTTCAGAAACGGACTTATTGGTGACTTCTGTTACGTGTTCTTATGTTTCAAAAAAAAATTAAATATAGAAGTGGTATCACCGGTATTAATACAGCTAAATCATCTTAAATTCTAATGTATTCCTTATCCAGTTCTGGCAGTGGGATATTTTCTTTTTAACATGGGACCAATCTCAAATGAAAACTATATATTAAACGAAAACTATATATAAAAACTTTAATATGTTAATCAACATATTAACACAAAAACAACTATATATGAAAACTATATATATAACGATATATTATTAAGAATATGCTTACTTTATTAATGATACGAGTATTATTAGATATTATGACATATTGATATTTATTTATTTGGTACTGGAATAGATGTTTGTCTTCTAACTCAATTGAAGGATATCGACGACGAAGATATTACGCGCTTTTCAAAATAAACCTATTCAGTCTCTTCTTTTCTATTCTTAAACCTTCCAGAATTACAATGTCTGGAAAAAAGACTGGTAGTTCTCTCCAGACTTTGGCAAATAGTTAAATAAACGTTAACCTGTCTGCGTCTTGTAGTCCTTGTACCTTAGCCTTCATCTACCTTAAATTACATTTTAGCTTACATCAATACACAATAATAATTCATTTTAACATATCATTTCACCGCACTAGCCCCTTTGTGTAACACTGATACTAAATTAACATCATTGTTTACGCTTTCAACACGCACTGCCACACACAGACATGTTATTTCCACACGATTTCCGATACGACAGCCCTCATGCTAGACGGTATTATACGCCGTTATTTATTTTTTTGCTTAGTTATCACTATGTTTTCAAAGGTTCTAGAATGTGCTCTTTTCAGTTAGTGTTATTAGATCGATTAACCAAATAGATCACACATTTTAATTAGAATTGGATATGTCCATTTTTGAAGATACGAAAACATAGGAAATATACCGGAGGAAATAATGTTTGAGTAAATCTATCTTGAAAAGAATGATCGGAAAGACTCGTTTTTATTTACATAGGAAAGTTTATAAAAATTGCACAGTAAATTGTATGAAGATTGAATACTTGAATCCAGACCTAATATAGTTTTAGGTCTGGGCTATGACGATCTAGAAACATTTGCATAAATTGATACCAATATATTTTCTTCTCATTCTAATGTTAGAAAACCTTTTAACAACAGACGTGTCATTTCCACATGATTTCCGAGACAGTGCGTAGGGATGACACGAGTAAATGAAGAGGGTGACAATCTCTGTATATAAATTAATGAGTTTCTGAAATAAGTTCAAAATACAATTATAGAATTAATTTATATTGGGTCCATTTTACCGTATAGAATCACTAACCAGAATAAATTTAAATAAACGCGAAAACAAAACTAGAGAATGTATCCAAATAATATAAATGTTGCCACTGTTTTGAAAAGCATATGATTTTTTTAGTTTAACCTTCAAACAAACCCTTGTTAACGTTATCTACTTGTTCTTAAAACAACATTTTTCACTTTTAACATACAGTCGTTATTAAAAACAAAAAAGTTCTCTATAGGTTAACTTAATAAAAATATTAAAAAATAAGAAATACTTTATAAGAAATCGGTTTTTTGGAATAGGTAATTTAAATTGAAGCGTCTCATTTTATAGTCACTGCATTTGGCGACAATCGTAGCAGTTCTACGAGCCGCTACGAGCGTAGCCGTAGCTGAATGTAGCCGAGCGTGGTCAAAGTTATGCTTTACAATTTTGTAAATGAGTGCCATTTCGAAATGTTGTTTTGTTAACTATAAGTTTTATTGCGAAACTTTCCCTACAACTTTACCAGCTGTTGTTTAGTTTTGAATTCACCGAAGTCTTTTATTAGGAAGCTTAGTACTTTATAATGTCCCATAACAGGTTGCTTTGTTCCTTGATTAAGGAACGTGCATCACTTTTTTGTTTAAAAAAGAACATTTGATTCATGAGTAACTTTAAATTACTTTGAAAGTAAATCAACAAGTGAAAAAAATCACTATTCCTGAAAACATTACCGCTTGAGAAGAGTTTTTCTAATCAAATTAGAGGAGAAGAAATTGTAAATCCTATTAATCCTATTAACTATTTTTCCAAAGGACTGACATTACCGCTATCCCAATAGCCTAACCCAATATTCTAAATTGTCTGACACTTAAATGCTAGCAAAACACTTGAGCGTTGGTGGTAAAAGTTAACCAATGAATGCTTTTCTTCTTATTAAAGTCGATTAAAATAATGAATTAACCTAGGTTATCTATCAATATATCTTTGAAGTATGAAAAACGCAATCGCAACGTAATTTTAAAGTTTGGCGGTTAATACTTTTTTTACATCATCATTGCTGAGATCAAATCTGAAGCCACTTCTGAAGAACTACAACTTCTAAAATAGAAATATGAGAGAAAAGATAAAAAGGTATGAGTACTATTAACTTATCAACAATCGCACGAATGAATACATTTTGAATAAATCGATTGTCAATACAATCTTTACTTACACTTCAATTCATATTTATTCAATACTATCTTTCTTCATTATAAACAAAATTTGATTTCGCAAACGCTCAGATTTCTATTTTTCCAGCTGACTTACCGAGACGATTTCATTTAAACAATATTGTGGCATTTATTTAGAAGCATCTTTTATGTAACCATAAAACGATTTATACCTGAAAGGTCGCGGTGGTCTGAATATTTTATTGGTTTAAAGCCGTTAAAATTCGCACGCGTAAATTAAATTTTATACAATTTGGTTCGCGGACGTAAAGCCTATTTTATTATTATAGGCTCGGTCCGGGTGAATGGTTATTATATTATAACGAGTTTGCTATTTGATTGTATTAGATTAGTAATTGGTTTACAATAGGGGTTGGAGACGATTTTATATAATTTTTTAATGCATAATGACAAAGTTTGTTTTCGGCAAAATTGGTTTGTGATTTGGTTAGAGACAAACAAATTGTATTTTCTTTCTGGAATCGAGTGTTACAAGATTGATGATGATTGAACAGTTAGATTTTAACATACTTTGATACAAACTTCTAATTTCTCGAACTTTGCCAATTCTTGAAGAAAGAAACATTTTTTTTTATGGAATAGGGGGCAAACGAGCGGGCGAGTCACCTGCGAGGCAAAAAGTGTCTTGAAAAGCTCACAGTGGTGGAGCGCCAATTATCCAAGTGGTGGGGACGAAAATTAGATATACATATATGTAAGCCAGTGGATTTACATCTTTTTCTTTTCAGCCGGAGCTGTATAAGAATGAGCTTGTCCGCCAATCATCTACTGAAAGTGCTGAGCTGGAGTTCTGCGGCAAACTTCACTTTGCTGTTAAGTATGATCAAGAAGTTGAGGCTCTGGTTGTTAAGGTGTGTATTTATATATATATATATTAGGATTATGTTTATATTTTATTTTAATTTTTACGTAAGTGAAGTTAAGGTAGATAATTTTTTTTGTATTAAAAATTTCGCAAGCAATGACACGGTTCGGTTTCGATATTTATGTACTTCTTTAAACACGCAGCTCAGAGGAATTTTCCCTCAGCCTATTAGCTGCAGTATTTCTTCCATTTAAATGGCCTTTTACTTAATCTACAGTAAGTAGACTTGATCTATCTGTTACTGAGCTACTTCTGAATTATATTGTTCAAGCATTCATTGGGTACTCTGACCTCCAGCCCATGTGCATGTGCATAATGTTAGTGGTGTAAAAATATATCACATAAATATTTCTATAGTTGTATAGATCTTTTGGATGTTGTAACAACCCCAATGAGCCATTTCAACTAATTAACGTTCGTCTTAAAGTACATGTAATTTAGAGGAGCTAGCTTTAATAAGTAAATCTTCCCGGATAATTAGTTCAGATTTTTACGTTACCATTTTGATGGCTAGGGTTGATGCTAACATTTTCAAATATTACTTATACCAAGAAAAAAAATATATATTTAAAAGTATTTTGCATTATTATATCAGATCATCGAAGAAGTGTTCCAAACACTTATCATATCTTCGATTATAGTGTAGCTTATAGTATTTAGGTTCTAGTTTGATTAAAATCTATTTAAGTAATTTATTACTAAAACTTACGAGTTAAATCACATTAGATATACAAATGTTACCAAGTGGAAGTTTTATAAAATATGTAAATAATAAAAATGAAAAACGACCCTATTGCTCTTTTGCCATTCTTGGCTGCAAAGCTCTGGCTTGGTTGTGTGTTCGATTCCATCCTAGGAAAAATATTGTGTGACGAGCAAGATCATTTGTTCTGCATAGATATGTTCATTAAGAAGTATATGTACCCGTTGACAGTAATAGGTGCAGCGCCCAATATTACGTAAGTGGGACTAAGATTACATTTGACTGGCCTGTTTATCTAGTGGTTAGTGACTGACTGCTATACCAGAGGTCGTGGGTTCGATTCCCACTCAGGATAAATTATTATGTGATAAGCATGGTCATTTGTCTTGGGTGTGGGTGTTCTTTATTAATAATATGTATGTATTTAAAAATATATAAGAATGTTTATCAGCAGTCTGGTTACCATTGTAGCTCTGCCTAGTTTGGGATCAGACGGCCGTGTGTGAGATGTGTGAAAATCATCATTATCATCAGCCTATAGCAGTCCACTTTTGAACATAGGCCTCTCCCATTGCACGCCACTTAGATTAAAATATTATTATTAAATATTATACAAAATATGGGCATTTAATCACGTAGAGTAGATAGAAGCAATTCTATCTACTCTTTCCAGATAAAGACGTGAGTGAATGTAATAATGCTTTTGACAGCCCTGCTTTCAAAACAAGAGTCATTGACCTTAGCCTATCTTAAGGCACAAATGACCCATTAAGTTTGCTTAATACTGTAACTTAGAACATAAAAAGGGGTTGTTTTACACAATTATAATAGCTATAGGATTCCAGTGTCTTTACGACACAGTTTACAATAACTATTTTAGATAACATCTCGAGAAAACGTCTCTAAAATGAAGTATTTCTAGTTAATAGGGATATAAAATAAACAGTGATAAAAATATTAGGAATAATAGGGATATATAATAAATAACTACCAAAAAGCATATTAATCTATTGACAATAATGGCCTTTATTAAAATGGCACTGGATGGCGTCGCACGATGTACGGCTTTACCAGAAGCCTGAGTACTGCTGCCCAGGACGGATTGAAAGCTGAAAATTTCGTAGTTTTTCCTTTAATTAAGATGGATTAGTAATGATATCAATTTCACATTACTCATGTTAAGTTCATAAAGTAAATCAAAATCACGGTTTAGGAAAGGATTATCGTGGATAATGCAGTGGATTTGGTAGTTTTTATGCTACCAACGCAAAAATAACCATATTGTAAGTTCAATGTGTGTATCTTTGGGTCTGTCTTTGGTATCTTAACTACTAAACATAAACAGTTTAGTGATTGATGATATGAATATAGTGACAGTGACTACCACTGATCATAGATACATGCCACTTAAAAGCTACGAGTGAGTTGTCGTCCTTTGATTTAAATTATTCTTGAAGAAAATATTATTAGTAAATTTCTAGTCTTTGAAGAATTTTAGGACGAAGGTAGGGTTAGAACAAGGGACAGAAAGGAAGACTAAAAGAAAAAACATAGTTTTACTGGGAGAACAAAGTTAACTACTTTCTTTTCTTCTTTCTTTCTTTCACAGTAAAGCTATTACTATTATTATTACTACTATTTTTATAGAAATTATTTCAATAGTATTAACCATGTTAAAAGTAAAGAAACAATGCACGAATAAAACAGAGGGGGCTGCAAAAATGGGAGCGACGAGGTTAAAATGTGGCCAATAATACACATGGTGGCTGCATTCACGAATAACGTGGTTCCTGAAGTTTAGGATTTATTACATTTCAAGGGTCAGTGGGGACCTGGTCCCGTAGAAAATTTGTTCACAGACACGCTCGATTGGAAGAATGCAGTGTTACAGCATTTTATTCCTGTCGAACGTTAGAATTTACAGTTATTTATAGAGAGTGTGTGGGCTACCGCACGAATGGCACGGGTACTTTATATAACGTGTCTTTAAAAACATTTACAATAAAGACCGAGAGATGGCCGAGACTATTTGATGTTTATATTAGCTAATTAAATTAATTGAAACTTAAAAATTCTAAATCCATTAAAAAAATACAAATATGTTTCGGAAAGCAATACAAAATATCTTAATTCTAAAGTTAGATGAAATATGGAGTTTAATAACCTTCAGGCCATGACTTAAAAAACCTAATGTTATTTTTATAATTAAAAGTTGTGAGTTTGTACGAGTTATTATGAGTTTGTCGTGAAATAAATCTTTGATTAATTATTATTGTATTCTAGGAAAAATGTTTGACCGTTGAACCATACGAATGGTCATGATATCTTTTAGAAGTTACACATTACAAATGAACCTGTTCTTTATGTAATGTGTAACTTTATTTTTTTATAGAGTGTCTCATATATTGTGTTAGACTCTTCATTTATTTAATATGACACGCAAAGCTGCAAGTAAATATTTGCAGCTTTGCTCGCGTAAAAGTGATTTTTCTATACCTTGGGAATATACCTTTATTTTTCTATGAAAGTTGGGATCTGCTCTTCAATTCAATTTCATGGTTATTAGATGAAGAGTAAAATAGCAGTGTATGAAATACGAATATCCATATTTAAGTTTTTGAGACATTGAATTATTATTTGAAGGAAGTGGCAATGTACCTTAAGGACGTCGTTGATCTTGAATTCATTTAAAATTTGAATTGAAACGAAGGTTATTATTTCAATTACCTTACTTGTCTTTTCCTATAGTAGTATTAAGACTTTTCTCTTTTTCTAAGATTTTTCTTTAACTGAAACTTAAATTCTGCTGATACTGTTATTGTTGTTATATATTTATTATTTAAATACGTATATTGCTTAAGTCAGCACTTGCATTTAACTTGCTCCATCTGATAAATTAAGCATGGATGGCGTAGTAGTTTAAGCGGCCGCCACGCCGCTCACTACTACGCTGAGTGTTGTAGGTCTGATCCCCTCATGGGACGTCAGTTTGTGTGATTCACAAATTGTTGTTCTGAGTCTTGGTGTTATTTGTGTCCGTTTCATGTATGTTTGTAAAGTCCCCCGCGACACAGGATATATTCCTAATACGGTAGTTGTCTTTAAAGAAAACAAAAACAAAACTATGTCCTTTTAGAGAAATTCTTTGCAGGATACTGAAACTGTGGCTTAGAAATAAGATGAGGAAACTAAGTGGTTTTAGTCGGTGCAATTCTAAGCTCTCATGCGCTAAGGTACATCAACCTTACCATTTAGCACCGGGGAGCTTAAACACAAAAAAAAGTTTTTTGATCTACAAGTAGACTAAAATTTCATAATGTTTCTTAAATAAATGAATATGGAATGATGGAAGGAAGGAAAATAATAAGGAGATTCCTGACTATACAATATTACCTGTCAAGTAAAACCATTCTGTCTGACAAACGAGTTCGAATTAGTACTCTAATACTAAGTGGTTCGGTATTAAAGAGGCACTGAGATAATCAATCTTAGTAAATTGCATACAAACACGATGGATTTATTCTAAAATTCATCAAATGGGACTTAGTGTATCGATACAATATTGGTTTTGGTATAGGGTTTTGTGAAACAGTAATTTACTAAATATTATTAAAAGAGACTTCGAATAACAAGGCCTTGAACTTTAGAGTTCAACGCCAAAAAAATGCAAAAAAGAAACAATGTTGTTTTGTGGGTTTTATTTAAATAAGTTGAGTAAAATCGGTATTTGGAAATCTATACACTAGATTTACATCTGTGTTTATAGTCTTAGTTTTTCTTGTACATGAATGTCTTTTGAAGAAATACTTCTCTGAGTCCGAGATGTGTTACTGTCTATTGGTGTCAAAGGGCTCTCACCCTGCTATTTATTCCTTTGTATTCAAAAATGTCTTACCTCTTACTGATTTTATTTTTTCGTTGTTTTGGAACGTAACTGCGCCAGTATTTGTAAAATTAACCTTTAAAATACGCTGTTAGGTAGTTCTAACAGCGCGAATATGTAATTTTTTAAATAGTATTGTTAATGTTGTGGATATAATGCAACTATATGTGTAGGATTTATCTTGTATACAAATAATTTCTGTTATATCTAAAAAGAGGCACAATCTATATAATTGTACGCAGTGATAAGAACAAATACTTCTGCTGAATATTTAAAAATTTAAATAAACTATTTCTAAATCAGTCTAAGTAAAAGTCGCGAAAGCTTAATATAATAATGTTTTTATGGGTTTTGTATTTTTGATATTGATCTCTAAAATTCTGGGCATTGTTATTAAAACTTATTTTTTAAAATAAGCTATGATTTTATCTTATATATAAAATTCTCGTGTCACAATGTTCGTTCCCGTACTCCTCCGAAACGGCTTGATCGATTCTCATGAAATTTTGTGTGCACATCGGGTAGGTCTGAGAATCGGCCAACATCTATTTTTCATACCCCTAAATAGTAAGGGTGACCCATCCCTAATTTTTTTTTTTTTGCAATACAACGTTTGCCGGGTCAGCTGGTATGATTTGTAAAATATAAATTGAGTGTTTAAACTCATTCAAACTTAGGCAAAATAAATGATGACAAACACACGATGCAGTTTAGTAAAAATGGATACTCATAGACTATAAATATAATAAAAGTTGGTAATATGATTTATAAAAAAAGTTAAGTATTTTTTGCCAAAATCAACTGATTGAAATCGATTAAAACATAGTTTAAATGAAATCGATTGATTTGATCGAATTTCTATCAATTATTTTGAACTTCAGGACAGAGCATAGGTGCCTGCTGTTGTAGGAAAAATGTTTCACTATCAACAAAAAATATTCCATGAACAAATTGCTAATTTTATTTTGAATGTTATTCTTTTACATTTAGATCTTCGAAGCTCGTGATCTACCCATCAAGGATGTGACCGGCAGCAGCGACCCGTACATTAAAGTGTTTCTATTACCGGACCGCAAGAAAAAATTCCAGACGAAAGTGCACAGGAAGAACTTGAACCCGGTTTTCAATGAAACCTTTTTATTCAGGTACGTAATTGATTTATTGTTAACCTTAAGAAATTAAGACTTGATTTGATTAGAAATTTCAATATGTTAAAAAATATCGGGTGCACTTTTTGTTTTGGTTTTGATTTCATAGATTTCGATTTTGACAAAACCTTAAAAATCTAGTTCGTCATCGTCATCATCATTAGCCTTTATTAGTCCACTGTTGGACACAGGTTTGGCCTTATCTAGTTCGTACTAAGTAGTTCAACGTAATATATTTTAACTGGGCTAATTCATGTCTTGGTTAAATTAAGTCCCTGCAAAAGGTGTCTGGTAGGCTTGCGGTTATATGGGTGAGCGATCATGACCTCTTAGAGCTACTCTCATCTAATCCCAATTGCCGAGAATTGTGGTATCCCTTATTCTAGTTTCCTCGTCTGATCCATTTTTCTTACATTTCCAAGAACGATGAGAATGGAGGTAACAGATCATACAAGGAGGATGACTTATGTCAAATTTTTTGCAACGTTGTACATTGCTTCGCTAAAATTGGCAGCGAAAAAAATGCGTAACAGAGCTTGTCCATGAGGGATTTCTATCACTCCACTAGATCAGATTTTTGTAAATTGTAATATATGTTCATAAAACAAAGATAGATTTTTGAAAAGAAGTAATGTAAATTCTATAAATACCACAAATAGAAATAAACTTGTAGTACCTGCCTCTAGAATCCAAAAGGTAAATGAGGACCTCGAAAAAGGTCAAAGTGTCCGATTTTATAATAAAATTAAATTATTATATTAAGTATTAACAAATTTAAATCCGCTATAAAACGTGGCTTGTGCTAGAGGGCCTACTACTCAATTGTGGATTACATAGAAGACAAAAATGCTTGGGATTAATTAGCGCAGGCTATTTCTTAAGTAAAAATGTAGTGTGGCTAGTGTGTTTTTTTCTTTTCTATTTTTTATGTTTCACTTCATTTTCTCTTTATTCGTTTTTTTTCCTAATCTTGTTTTCTCTTCATTGTCTTTTTACCTTAAAGTCCTTAATAACGGACATACTGGCATACATCAAAACAATGTTATGGTATATTTAATAATGCCATTGTATTTATCTGTGAATTAGAAAAGAGTGGCCATGAGTTTGTTTGCCCTTTCTTCTTATAAGGCTCAATCCCTTAGACACAGGCGATTGTAGATCGGCACAGGCATATCATAGATTTTGTATGAATTTAATTTTTATTTAATTTACTAATTATTTGACAAAACAGAGATTGTTGCAATCGTGTGTGTGTTGATCTAAGACATTAGGGTCTACATAAAAGACGATAGCAAACATTTTTTTTTTTTATGAAATTGAAAGAGTTTGAGTTTAAAGACAATTGATTACATAAAGTATTACTTTGACATGAAATTATTACTAATAAACTAACATTTTAACGTTATTTTTGAGCACCAAGTACTAATAAGGAAGACTCCTACCTACTTCCCCAAATTATAAGTAAAATTGAGTTTCAGCGAACCATCTTGACAAAAATAATTGCTCCTTACTTTAGCAAATTTAATAATGTTGTTTATACATAAATTTTGTTTGTATACACAAACAAATTTGTTGGTTGAAGTGTATAAGGGAACTAAAATATGTTCTCCATTTTATTTCTAAAGGGTGTCTCAGAGTGCACTTTTTAAATTTAGAATAATTATTTTTCGTGCAAGTGGCAACTCTGAAATTTAACAGCTGTCACCTATGTTTATTCCGGTTATTAAAAATGAAACGTTTTTTGACAGAACAATGCATTATAATTGTGAAAACTCTTTACAAAAACAGGGAAAGGCACGCTGAAACCGCTTTCAGTCGATAAAGTGCACCCATAACGAGCAACTGTCTATTGCGGATTTTAGTCAGGCGGCGTGATTTTGCCTTACTTTTTAGAAGATGAGGTCAAAATTGCAGTGACTGTGAACGGCATTCGTTACAGGAATATGATAACGGAGTTCTTGTGGCCTCAACTGGACAGCATGAATCTGGACAATATGTGATTTCAGCAGGACGGCGCCACCTGCCACACCACGCATGAAACAATCGATTTATTGCAGCAACGATTTCCAGAACATATTATCACACGAAATTGTGATGTCAACTGGCTACCAATATCGTGCGATTTTTTTCTTTGGGGTTTTGTGAAATCTCGGGTTTAAACCAGAAACAATTCCTGAGCTCAAATCAGAGATCCAACGATTCATCGGTGAGATACAGTCACATCTCTGTGTAAAAGTCATGGTAAATTTCATGAAAAGAGTGATGGCCTGTCATCAGAGCCGTGGGGGGCTTTTTGCCGAATATTTTGTTCCATACTTAATCGAAACATGTCTTTTTTACAATCAAATAAAAATAACACAACTCTTTCAGAAAATATGTGTTTTAATTTTAAAATGAATAAGTGCACTGTTACTGAGACACCCTTTACACTCGTAGAGACAGATAACTTTGCTTGATGAAGTTACACTATAATAACTGATATTTTTTATTATTATTTATCTATCAATTAATTAAATCATTTTTTTTTAAATTACTCGTGTGACTATTATAATTCAAATTAGTCTATGGTCATTAGTTACACTTCCTTTATAGAGAGAGGCCTATGTGCAGCAGTGGATTATAATAGGCTTCTTATGATGAAAATGAAATAGCTAAAGAAAAAACCATGAGGTTAGTTGACGGGTTCAGATTGACCGCATTATACTTCGGCGTGGCTAGTGTTCAAGGAAAGTTGCTATTTAATAGTAACGCAGAGGAACTCTATGACCACCATCATGTAGTACTGAATACTATTTATCAGAGTTGTTGTTATACTATGACTGTATTTTTGATAGATTTTTCATTCTTCAACTACAGCATATTAAAAATATTCTCTACGAAATTTACATCAAAATAAATAACAAAGGACGACGATTAAAAATCTCCAGTCACGTTTAATTTATGCGTAAAAAATTAAAAAAAGTTTTTGCGTTGTAAGCTATCAGATATAACGGTCGGGAAATCTAGCGGAGGTTGGCGACCTCAATAGACGTCAATTTCATTTAAAATTACAGATTAAATGTAGAATTATTCGAACTTATACCAGAAGCAGAAGTTTGCTATCTTTCAACGCTAAAAAAAAATTCAATCCTGCTATTTGGAGAATTGGCAGCTCACCACTGTGTGCTTTTCATACTTCAAAAGGTGGTTACTTACTATCAGGTAACCCGTTCGTTTATTTCATCATCATCATCATCATCAATCATCAACAGCCTTTACCAGTCCACTGCTGGACATAGTCGTCTCCTTAGAAAGGACGTTTTGGCCTACTATACCACGCTGGCCAGACGTGTTGGTGTAGGGTTTGTGTCAAGTTTTCCTCTTACGACACCCTGTATTCACACTCTGTGGTGTGACAATCTGTATTCTTAATCCGTCACCACACGGACATCATCATCAACAGCCTTTAATAGTTCACTTCTGGACATAGGCCTCTCATTAGATAAGATAGGGTTTTGGCCCACTATCGCTCGTTTGCACTCTCTTTAGCAAAAATATTTATACAACATTTTCCAATTTGCATAAATTATGCTTCTAAACAATTGTGTTCGATTTACCTAATTCATGACAATTCTTTTTATAAGTATAAATCCCATGACTTGGTTTAAATAATTTAATTTAAATCTACCGCACTGGTTTCAAATTTGAAAATGTATCTGTTACCCGTTGTTTTCAGAGGTAGGAGCTTAGTCATAAACTTTACACATCAACTTGTTGCTTGCCAAAACTTTACAAAACTTTTTGCCGATTGACCCTAAATATGAACTTGCACATTGGTTTTTCGCCGAATGTTAGCCTATGAATATTTCAGTTATCTGATTTTCACCGAAGCATAACGTAATAAACTTGATGATTTCATTTTTTTTTATAAGACTGTGATCAGGTTTCTTAATACCGCCCAAAGTTCAAGTGGCTTCTGATACGTTTTCTTAGGAGTACTCGTATCCTCATGTTACGTTACAACATCTTCTTTAATTCAATGGTTCTTATGAAAAAAAAAAAAATTTAAGTTCTTTCCTGACATGTGAAATGTCTAAAGTCAAGGTCAATGTGGAGAATTAAAAATCGAGTTGTATGTTCTTGGAATATATTTTTACTTATTTGGCGTTATCCATAACTATTTTGAAATAAGTAGTTTTTCTCTTGAAATTAATAGTTTATTTCTAACTATTCTTTAAATTTTGCACTTATAACAAACAAGGCATTTATGCCAATAAATAAAAAACTTACTTTAATGCAAGCGAAAGCACGGGGTAAAGCTAGTATTTTTTAAACTAACATTATATCTACCAGACACTCCATTCTAAGTTTTTTTTTGAAAACAAATTTCAGTAATAAGGTAGTATTTATCTGCTCGACGTAACATACTGTGTTTTTAAATGGCACTAATTTATTTTATGGTATCTATTAATTATGGTTTCGAAATGTAAAAAAAATATAGAACATCCAATCACTTAAACAATTAAACACTTGAAATGGTATTAAATGATTTATAAGATGATTCTATTACTTTAAGTTCTATTGCAAATAGTTCTTCAACTACGCAAACAATTTAACAATTTTATGATACCTCAGATTTCAATGCTTAAATCGACTTCAAATAGATGTTGGTAAACTCCAATAAATCTTCAATTGGTCAGAAAATTTTAACTATTTACTCATTTAATTTCAGACAAAATCGACTATTTTTACTATTACTCGAATTATAATACTGTAGTAATAAATTACCTTGACTTTCTGTATAATATTGTGGCGATAGCCAAAGACAGAAAAAAGTATCTCAGCGTCATCTAGTATAGATAAATGAAACTATTTTGTGATTATTTCTCTTCTATTTAAAATTATCGTGCTCATCACACACATACAAATATCAGTTATATTTGTATGTATGTGATCAGCACTGCACTAACCTAACCTAACATCAGTTTTTGGACCTCGGTTCGCCATTAATAAATAAGGATTCTGTTCAGAAAATCTTCCAAAATAAAAGCAATACTCTTTTTCGCCTTGTTTTACTCTTCCTCCTCACGTTTAGAGTAGTAAAACGATTTGTGGAAGATAAAGCTTCAAGGGTTTTTGGATAAACAAAGTTGAATTGACTATGAGTTTACATATTTTTTGATAATGTTTTCATGTTATTTACTCCTTTAGTGTGCCGTATGAAGAACTTCGCCAGCGTTACATCCAGTTCTCCGTATACGATTTCGACCGCTTCAGCCGTCACGACCTGATCGGTCACGTGGTCCTCAAAGGTCTTCTGGAGTCAACTGATTTGCAGCAGCAAATCGAGTATACCATGAATATTCTTGCTGCACCACAGGTAAGTAAAATAGTTTATTGTTTATTTTATTTTTTTAAGGTTTTAGAAAGAAGTCAAGCTAGGTTTAATTAGTCAGTTTAATAAATAAAGGAAAGAGGGTAAAATAAAGCTGGATAAAAATATAGTTGAAAACAATTAATAGTGAGGTATGTACTGTACTGTACCACCTCAATCAAAACGAATCATATGACCCCAAACTTCGAGAGCATTGAAGAGCTTAACTATCCACCTCTTACTTCCATCATCAGATCAGCTTTAAATTTCCAAAATGTACCATATTCATTCAAATTACATATACATACAAAGTTTTATTTCGATTCGACATTGTCGGGATGAATGTTCTTTTCCTCTGGAACAGTCATACTTTGGATGTACCCAAAGTTACACGAAATAAAATTCCTTAACAAACACATCGTTAATGAGAGTCACTATAGCCTCAGGCTTATTTCCTATTTATTTCAACATTAATAACGTTGTAGTAAACTTATTATTATCCTTACAGGAAAACTCTAGTCTCTTAGGAACAACGTTTTTAAAAACAAATCCATGGTTGCTACTTTCTTTAGTATTTTATTCTAATTTTGAAGATAAAAAAGATTGCCTGCTTAACAGAGTACAGTACAAAATGTACTTTTCAGTTCTTTTTGAAACAATTAACAAAGGGATTTTTTTTTTTAAGATCGGTTGTACAGTGAGTGGTGGGCAGGGTTTGTCTCTTGAGTATTTTATTAAGTTCGTAACATCCTAAAATATTTCAGCTACATTAGTTCTTTATTTTTAGTTGCGTATTTTGATTAATTAACGATATTTTGGTTTAATTAAATCAACATTAAAGTGTCTACACCCAAATGTCCGTAAGGTTATCAAAACTTTTTTGGGTGGAATAGTTTCTGGAGTAGCGAGTATTTTAACAAAAATACCTATGTTGTTGCTGTTTTCTATCTATGATCCTTTCCATGATTATTTCTTTAAAAGCCCGTGTTACCTACTGGGTGCATCAAATTTCCAAGTTTTACGGTAATCGCTTAACATTAGACGGGTCTAAATGCTTCCTTTTTTTAATAGAAAATTATCACACACTATCAGAAAGATCGCAAAACATAAGTTCTAAAACATAATTCAAAACTGAAACTGATGTATTGTACAATGTGCCTGAGGTTGGAGAATTTGTGTAAGAATATATCTTGTTATTAGAACTTAGAGCAGTTTTGATGGACGGGGTTGCGAAAGTGAAATGAGATGAATCGTTTGATTAATGATTTCAGATTTCGTCGAGATCCATGGAGATTGTTGAGGCTGTACGTCTCATTAATTTAATTGAGTTAAAGTAAAATGACAAGAATTATTAATTTCAAATGAATTGAAATATTAAATTTGCTTAAATCATACTCCGTTAAAGTTATAACTATTGTTGTAGGGCTCAAAACTTTGAAATTGTCTCAAACAGAATTTTAGAAACAAAAGAGATTTTAAAAGGTCAAAACTTTAATCTTTCTAGCTTTCCGTTTATTTATTACATATTTACAATTAATTTATATATTTAATTGCAAATGCTTTGTCAATGTTTAAATTTATTAAATGGGTATATATGATTTATGTACATAGCTTTTCCTCGGAGCTTATTTTGCCAAACTAGGTTGGGAATGTCTTTAAGTCTGCTACTTCGTTTCTTTAGGCGGAGCGACTGGCATCAGGCCTCCACAACCTAAGTACTAGGCGATATCGAAGTTCTGTACAAAGACTATTGTCGTACTTTTAAGGGCTTTAAATACCCGTAACGATAGCCACAGATGTTCGTATGGCAACCGGGACAGAGGTAAACTGAAACGAACTACAGTAAAAAACGTTTGAAACAAGAACCAAATAAAAAATAATATAATATGTACCTCGTTGATAACGGTGTGTATCTTTTTTTTATGGAGGGTTCAGACGAGCAGACAGACACCTGATGGAAAATGACTACCGCCGCCCATGAACCCCTGCAACTCAGGAGTCACAAGTGCGTTGCCGGACTTTTAGGAAAAAGTAAGCTCTTTTCTTAAAGGTTTGAAGTTCGTATCGATTTCCCCCCCGGGGGGCGAACTTCCAAGAGGCGGCGCGCCTGGCCACAAGGGGAGTCTCCCTGGTGGTCGGGCGCATTGAGGCGCTGGGCTTACGGGTGGCCCTAGATAAGACGGAGGCTCTCTTATTTCATGGGCCCCGTCGTGGTCCACCCCCTGGCGCCTCAATCGTGGTCAACTCGGTCCTCGTACCGGTTTGGGCCCAGATGAAATATCTGGGCCTGATCCTCGACGGGAGGTGGCTCTTCGACGAGCACTTCCGACAGCTTGCTCCAAAGCTGGTCGGCGCTGCGTCTGCCCTAGGGCGACTTTTGCCCAATTTGGGTGGACCCAGCGTCGCGACAAGACGGCTGTACACGGGGGTTGTCCGGTCAATGGCACTATACGGTGCACCGGTGTGGGCGGCGGCTCTGACCGCCCAGAATAGGGCACGCCTTTGGCGCCCTCAGAGGGTAATGGCGGTCAGAGCCATACGCGGTTACCGCACCGTTTCGACGGAGGTGGCGTGCGCGTTGGCCGGAACCCCCCCGTGGGATTTGGAGGCGGAAGTGCTCGCCGAAGTTTATCGGCGAGTGGCTGACTCCCGGGCGGAGAGCGGATTTCGCCCTCCGCCCGAGGATGTGCGCGAGTGGCGCGAAGCCGCTCGTCGAGCCACGATGGCTCGTTGGTCGTTCCGGCTGGAGACTCCACGCGCTGGCTTCGCCGCCGTGGAGGCTCTCCAGCCGGTCATCGCCGAGTGGGCAGGGCGGCAGCACGGGACCCTTACCTTCCGGCTGACGCAGTTGCTTTCCGGGCACGGTTGCTTCGGTCGCTAGGAGGGAACTGAGTTCCGCCTGCCACCACTGCGACTGCAGTGAGGACTCGGCCCAGCACACGCTGGCGGTCTGCCCCGCATGGGCGACGCAGCGCCGGGCCCTCACTGGAGTCATCGGTGTGGATCTCTCGCTACCGGCCGTAGTACGCTCCATGGCCGGTAGCGACAGTTGTTTTACCGCGGTCGCAACCTTCTGCGAGGAAGTAATCTCGCAGAAGGAGGCGGCGGAGAAGGCCCGGGAGGACGACCTCCACTCGGACCCGATCCGCCGCCGGCGAACCTGGCGCTTTCCTGCGCCTCATGCTGCCCTGAGTGTGGCTGCGGGTGGACGGGGTGGGTTTCCCCTCCACCCGCATTAGTTTGGCCAGCCGCGAGGGGGCGGTGTCCGCGTGTGCCAGACGTCGCTTAAAGAGAGGTTAAAAATTTTGAGACGAAGCCCGCACCAGGAGCGGGCAGGCGCTAGGAGGGGTCCGGATGTCTTAACAACAGCTGTTCCCGGATCCCTCCTATTACAGGCGCAGAGTGGCACACCGTGTGGTTTTAGTCGGTAGTCGGTTTAACCCCGGTGGGGTGACGGTCCGAGGGGATTTCCACACGTTAAAAAAAAAAAAAAAGGCAAAAAAAATCTTGAAAATTGCACAGTGGTGGAGTGTCAATTATCCAAGTGATGGGGATGAAAATTACAAATTCGATTAGAACTATTTCGATTATGTATATGTGATCTGTATGAAATTAGAAAAGTATACACATACTTTTCTAATTTCATAGATAGATTATAACATATCTAAGGATTTTCGTTCACGTCTAGGTACAATAAAAGTACAATTTAAACATATATTACGCTGATAACCTCATTATTTTGAACAAACTTTTACGATCCGCCACCGTATTATTCCCGTTGTTCTTGCCACATCACTAGACTTTAATCTTCACCAACTAAATTGGAATTCGATCGACTTGGAATTAAAAATAAAGTTAGAATAGTAGATCGGCTTTCAGGAGAACAGCAGACGGTTTGAAGATATAGTAGACGAGTTCTCTTTTGATTCCAGACTCAAAGAGATACAGCGCAAAACAACAGCGTTGCAAAGAGTAGGAAAACTTGAAACAAACCCTAGTACAGTATATTCCTAGCATGGTATAGTAGGCCAACACCTCTTTTCTAAAGAGAGGCATGTCCAGCAGTTGTCTGAAAGGCTGTTAATGAAAGAGAGATTATGTTGTAAGAAACTAGTCCTTCTCTTTTTCTATATCCCTATTAAAGGATATGATGATCAAATAAATAGTATGAATGTGATTAAAGTATGTGTGATTGGTCTATATTAGTCGATTAGCGCATTGAAAAGTAGCCTATGTTATTTGCTGTTAACGTAGCTTTTCATTAGTGAAATATTTTTTAAAATCGATTTAGTGGTTAAGGCGTGAAAGTTTAACAAACAAACAAACGTACTTTTAAATTTAAAATATAAGTATGGATTGACAGTAAATTAATTAATAATAATAATAATAATAACCTCACACATCTCACATACGGCCGTAACCAAACCAGACTGCTGATAAACATACTTATATATTGTTAAATATATACATGTTATAGATAAATTACACTCAGATTATTATCATTATTTATTAGTAGGTATTAAATTGGCAAAGAATTTCATGTCCAGTGGATATTCTCGTACATACTCTCTTATGCATCTTCACTGGGTCTGCAGTCTCACTCCCGTTTTAAAACCTAGACTGACGGACTGACAAAACTCCCTCTTCCTATCCTTTTATCCTACCAAAACTTCTTTCTTGCTATGCCCCGTCTTAAAACGACTTTATTCTTAAGGAGGATTACCTTCTAGAAGGTGACCATCAATAGAAGAAACTAGCAAAACTCTTTCATAATATTATATGTTGACCACTAGTAAAATTTAGAAATGAGCATAAAGATGATAATGTAATTAACTTTACACATCTCACACACGGCCCTATGATCCTAGGCTGAGCCTGTAATATGGTAACCAGCCTGCTGATAAACTTACTTATACTTGTATATTTCTAAATACATACTACATCTTATAGATAAATTACACCCAGACAGAACAAATGATCGTGCTCATTATTCAATATTTCCTGTCCTGTCCCGGGTGGGAATCGAACCTTCTATCTCTGGCTTAGCAGTCAGGGTCAGCAAATACTAGACCAACGGGCCCGTCAATTAACAAAATTAGATAGGAAGCTAAGGATTTCTTTAAAATACGTACATTAGTTAGTATGTAACATTTCAATACTTAGGTATATATTACTAATAGGTTTATCCTTATCAATCCATTACGCTGTGCAGCTTACCCTCGTCAATTATTAAAATTAATCACGTTTTAATCCCTCTGTCACGCGACTTCATTCTAATATTCACTAACGAATAAATTCTTGTTTGTTCTGACGTTTTATTATTGAGTTACTATTACTTTTAAATTGTTTTATTGGAAACTAATCGGGAAAAAGAAACAGTTGCACTTTAATATACTTATCATTTGACTACATTTTTTCTTTAATTTATATTCACATATTCGTACATATACTACATATAGTCTCTCAAGTATATTCTTCTTCCTCAAACAGATAATTAGGCAGATAACGCAAAATACGGGTTGCCACCGTATGGTGACGGGTTAAGAATACGGAGTGTCACCACTCCTATTCATCCCGTGGGTGTCGTAAGAACCGACTAAGGCAACAAACTACGCAAGACAGCGGCACTACAGCTATGTCCAATAGCGGACTTATTAAGGTTGTTGGTGATTCATTATTAAGGTTGTTGGTGATTGAAATAAGAAGAAATGTAAAATAAATCTTTGAGAACGAACATAATAACAGAGAAACATAAATCTAAAAACAATTATGTTTGGACCATATTGAGGTAGACTTTGGACTTAAATTATAAGAAATTCTATTACATAAAAAATAAATTAAAAATACCCCCGACTCACATCTTGGATTTGAAATTTGTTATAGTGTATAGTATTCTACTAGTCAAGCCCTTTCATTTGATACCCATATTGAGGGAGTTGTGAAAAAATATATAATCCGATATTTTGTGGATCGTCTTGGACTGATTTTCATCAAACATAGAGAAGAACACTCCCGACTAATTCATCTTTTAAACAAGAAAAACAAATTCAATATCAGTTCATCCGATCGAGAGCTACGATGCCAAAGATAGCCATATATACATAGACACGTCAAACTTTATAACACTCTGTCGTTATTGCGTCGGGGGTTAAAAAGATAGACTATTATAGCAAAAATATTCTTATAATATTTTCCATAACAGTGCCTCGTGTAAATTACTGATTTACACGAGTCACTGTTATGGGAAATATACAACAAAAATATACAAAAATCCAAAAAGCATATATAGCTCCAAGAGTTCAAGGAAGCGATAAACTATTTGAAAACCTACAATGACTTTTATCGAAAGTGTATTAATATATATCTCGTTCCCTTCAATAAAAGCCATTGTTTTTAGAACACTTGTCAATAAAACTTAACCGTTAAAACATGGCACCATTTACAGGGATACGCCCTTCCCAAAGAGCACTTAACTCAAAGCTTGACTGTGAATCGATAATTTATTTAGTTTCCTAATAGCCCGACAAACTTGAAGATTAAGATTGTTATTGTTCTATTGGATCATAACTGTCAGATTTTAGTTTAGGACTTGACTTATATTATTATGTACAATATTATTTACGTTAACCCTTTTGATAATTGAAAGGGAACAAGGAATAAATTTAGAAAAAAAAATTGATTAACGCTTTACACCGTCTCTATAAGGTATAAAAAGTACGATCAATAAAAATAAAATATGGTTCGATCGATAAGCGCATCACTTCAGAATTTCACCGTGGACTCCCACATATTTGGCACATATTTATGGGTCGACTCATGCGGATACCAAGGCCTCACAGGAAACTGGTGCTAAGCAATTATTTTTTTTTAATAAGGAGACAGCTCCCGCACTAGGAATATATCCAGTGTCGCGGGGACTCTACAAACATACATAAAACGGACACAAAGAACACCCAGACTCAGAACAACAATTGGTGGATCACACAAACTGTCGTCCCATGTGGGGATCGGACCTACAATACTCAGCGTAGTAGTGAGCGGCGTGGCGACCGCTTAAACCACTACGCCATCCGTGTAGTCGATGCCAGTCAGTGCAATCCGTTTTCACCGAGTGAGTAAGGTTAACGAAAGTCCCCATTCCCTTTATTCTTAAGAGGGGAAGGGGCGGAAGCAACACAGATTTATCTTTTGAGCTGCAGGTGTCCTTGAGCGTCGGTAGTCACCTACGACGTGACCCGTCTGCTCGTTCACGCATTATACCATAAACAAAAAAATAAAACATTTTCAACTGAATATGTCAAATCTATTTCAGAGTTACAAGAAAAAAAATACTAAAAGTTAACAATGAATGAACATGAATAGCAATTAGGGTTGAAGAGATTTACAAAAAAAGGCCAACTTGTAAAAAATTGCCACCTGTAATGCCAAAGGTTGTTATCAGTATGTATATTGCAGTACTCGGTCGACGACATAAATAAATTAAATAAAAATGTGAAGACAGCACGAGACTACAAATAAATATAGTAAATGTAAATAAAACAAAAGAAGTCAAAATCCAGTACTTAAGATTATCGTAAAGCGAATGACCTGTTTTATGCAAATTTCAAAGATTTAATTACAATGCATAAATAAACTAAGTTACAAATACTTAAGAGGTCTTAAAAATTAAGTTAAAACCCAGTTTTAAGTATTTAAACCGAGTTAAAATGAAATATATTTACGTAAGATTTGTTGAGCGCAGCAAGAAAATATTTTTTATGCTCTAAACAAATATTATGCGGAAGATATTGGTCATCTCACAGGTTTCGAATACATTCTTAATATATATAAATTACCTAATAGCTGAGCTAATAACTATATTTAGATGACTGTTGGTCAAGTGGTTAACGTTCTTCGTTCTTCCAGAGGTCTTGCGTTCAATTCCCACCAGTGACCAATACCAATACCTATGTGATGATCAGGATTATTTGTGCTGTGTCTTAGTATACTTTATGTATACATTTAGAAATATATAAGTATGTTTATGCGCAGTCTGGTTACTTTGGAACAGGCTCTGACTAGTTTGGGATCTGATGACCATGTGTGAAATGTGTGAGGGTATTATTATTAAATTTAATCAATGTAAGAGGTGTGTTAGTGTTTTAAAAGAAATGTTGTTGGGTTAATGTTTTTTTTTATACTTGTTTTGATAAAAAAAACGTGAGCGTCTCGAGACGCCCGACAGAAGTGATTACATAAACTAATCTAAGTTGACCTATTGAATATTGAAATTGTTTAACTTTAGAAAAGCTTAAGTTTTTACTTAAATTTTATGTAAAGCGCTTGTTCGAAATATGGCTAGCGCTGTCGGTTAGAGTAAGAGAGGAGGAGCCTGAAGACCGCTGCCGTATGCGTGAGAGAAAGGGAAGCCAGGCAGACCGTAGCGCCGTAACGTATTACGTAACGAAGCGGTTTACTCTCCCATAAGAAGTTATCACTTCAAAAATCAATAAGTATACCCCTTTTTTTTTTTTTTTTCCCGTGCGGAAATCCCCTCGGATACCACCTGTCGGTGGCATGTCGGACTCGAACCGACTAAAACCGCACGCCGTCTCGGGTACTAATGGCCGGGGAACCAGGTATACCCTAGAAAGGAAGTCCCTGGTGCCCCGACATACCTCGGGTCATCTACAGACGAGTAGACGACCTCCCCCCGTGTGGGAACACCCCATGTTCCCTGTGCTCCCTGGAAGCGAGCGCGCTTCGCAACGCGCTCGCCGAATAAGTATATCCCTATCTGTATGATGGATTGAAAAGCTGAGGTTCACATAATTAGTATTAGGGTAAATTGGTTTTGTAAAGTTTAAATCAGTATCAAGTAATTTTTGGCTACATAAAGTTTTTATATTGTTATCAGGAGAAGAAAGACCTTGGAGAGCTGATGCTGTCTCTATGCTATCTACCCACTGCAGGCCGACTCACAGTCACTGTGATCAAAGCCAGGAACCTGAAGGCGATGGACATCAATGGATCGTCAGGTTAGTGTTGAACAAGTACAGGATTTTTTACGAAGTCCAGCAAAACATGATGAAATATACTGAACTGTATTCTTCACGCAACTGTATTCTTCCTTAGGAGTGAATTTTTTTCTTCTAATTTGAATGGGATAAAATGGGAAGTAACCGCCCTCCCCCCACAAAGCAAAAAAAAATATCCAAATAGTCAGAAAAACAGCGCTCGCAAAATCCACGGTGTTAAAACACAAGACTAAATCAAATATTATTAAAACCCACGCATTGTTGAAAATTGAATCTATTTATAACTTAAACTAACATATGTATTTAATACGCATTCATAATTGAATCTAATTAAGTACTGTATATAAAGAGTGTTAATAAAAACGGATGTTACGTCAGACGTCAATCAATAAAAAATCATTATTTCATGAATACCTATGTATTTATGACAATACAAGACAGCTTTAGGAATAAGTTTTATTTGTAATACCACAATAACTTCTCTTTCTCTTCTCGTTTGACATACATACATTCATACATATGTACATAAACTCACGTTTATAACCTGGAAATTGAAATAAAGACATATGTACTACATATTACATATACTATTTTGATTTCCTCTTCTTAGCTCTTCCCCTTTATGTTTTCTCTCCGTACCACGGTTGCCGTTAAGAGATTGCCTCTGAGCGATAAAGCAATATATTATTATTATCATAAAGTTATTGTATCATGTTAAATAGTCTACTGCTGGGTATAGGCTTGTCTTTAGAAAGGATTTGGACTACTATACCGCGCTGGCCAGGCGGGTTTGTATAGGGTTTGTTTCACGTTTTCCTTCTCTTGACAGTGCTGTTATCCGGCGTAGTTTGCTCCCTTAGTCGGCTCTTACGACACCCACGAGATGAATAGGGGTGGTGACAATCTGTATTCTTAGCCGTCACCACACATCATCAGCCTATCGCAGTCCACTGCTGGACATAGGCCTCTCCCATTGCACGCCACTTAGATCGATTTTGGGCTTCTCGCATCCAGCTCCTGCCAGCCATCTTGCGCAAATCGTCACTCCACCTGGCCTGTGGGCGTCCTACACTACGTTTGCCGAGACGCGGTCACCACTCAAGAACTTGTTTTCCCCAACGGTTATCGGTTCTGCGGCTAATATGGCCACTTCAGCTTGCTGATCCGGTACGCTATGTCGGTGACCTTGGTTCTCTGCCGGATCACCTCATTTCTGATGCGATCCCTTAGAGAAACGCCGAGCATAGCCCTTTCCATAGCACGTTGAGCGACTTTGAACGTCTGGACCAGCCGTACCGTAAGTGTCCACGTTTCAGCTCCGTATGTCATGACGGATAGGACGCACTCATTAAAGACTTTCGTCTTAAGGCACTGTGGGATCGACGATGAGAAGACTCGACGTAGCTTCGCAAACGCTGCCCAACCCAACCGAATTCTTCTGTTCACCTCGTCCTCGAAGTTGTTTCTACCTAACTGCAATGTCTGCCCGAGGTACACATAATTTTGAACAACTTCGAAGTCACCACACGGTGACTTCTAATCGTATGCATATATTATGTCTCGTTTATGTTATTACAAAAACATTGGTTGTGTTTAAAACTCATTCAGGGCGACTAAAACCTATACGTGTCTCTAACTTAATGCGTACCACCTACATATTTCTAATATTATTTTAGATACATTAAAAAAACTAAATTATCTATGTTCTATTTTTATATTTTTATTTAAGTATATAATCACAAATATTAATAAAAATGGGATCCTTACATGGGATGAAAGGAGGCAAAGGTAAGTAGAAACACTTACACGCGTGCGTTGTTTAACTTCACAACCACTAAATCAATTCGAATGTGGTTTTTGTATGATATATAAGTTATACATCATACAAAAACCACATTGGTTTTTCCAGACGAATGTTGGTTATACAGTATAACCAACATTCGTCTGGAAAAACATTGGTAGGTTTTTTTTATGTAAGAGGTGGCAGACAAACAGATTGGTATCGAAAGTTTTATACGTCTTATACAAGGTGTTATAAAAGGTTTTGTTATATTTTTAACTCGTACAGCACATGGTATTACAATTGAAAGATATTAATGATTTCATTCCATCAGCTTTTTTTTGTGGGAAATTCTCGTACAAAAATAACTAACAGAAAGTAAAATTAAATCATTCAAGTTTTTAAAAAAAGTAATAGTTTTAGGTCGTTTAGAGCTACACCCAGACTTTGAGATTAAAAACGAAAATAAAAAAATATATATTTTTTAATTTATTTTTGTAGCCAAGTTAATTGTTTCTTTCTATTATACAAAACTACCCTAAAACTTTATTGTTTTACAACTTTACAATACTGCGTAGTTTGATGTTTTAATTACGACGAAACGAACCACACGAACAAGCCAAATAAACAGGAAAATTTACAAAAAACTGCAACAAATAAGCGGTAGCGTAATAATTGTAACGCCAAACTTGGGATCGATTTGTTGAGGGTTCGAATTTTATCGTATACACGGTTCGGTTTCAGCATTGGCATAATAGCATTTAGAATACTTAGGTACTATTATTCCTTATTAGAATGACCAAGTCTTCAACCAACTCATACATCAGCTGAACTTTGATTCATATGTGTACTTACGCAGCATATGTATGTACGTATAGGTACGTATGAAAAATAATAATTTTGCAGTCGAAGAAATCTATCAAGTAAGCTTAAATTTCTATAACATTATTGTTCTTTCATTGGTAATGCACATCGATGAACCTTCACAATAATATTGTTCATTTAGCAAGTTAAGTTAAAATTTTCAAACTTGTCAGCCTAGGAAAATATGACTTTGGATCAGTAAATATTCCTCTAATATGCTGTAAATGGCTTAGAGAGAAAGGATAGTTTCAATGTATCCGCTGAGGTATCAGCCATCGAAGTGGCGAGTAAAAAAATTAAATCGTATATTTGGGATTAAAAAACGACATAGTTGTATTAAAAGTGAAAATTACTTGACTTTTAGATATCGATCTACCTCTCCATAGATAGCGATACGACCGATATAGATAAGTTACTATATACAATTTGAAAGATCCAAACTGCAAATACCATTTAAAAAAAAAAAAAAAAAAAAATAAATTGAAAATTACTTGACTTTTAGATATCGATCTACGTCTCCATAGATAGCGATACGACCGATATAGATAAGTTACTATATACAATTTGAAAGATCCTAACTGCTAATACCATTTCTAAAAAAAAAAAAAACAATAAAAAAAAATTAAAAGTGAAAATTACCATTTCTTAATAGGACAGAACTTCGGTTTTTGGAGATTAAAATTCGAATAAGTACCTATTAGGCATAGTCTATTTAAGTAGTAGATAATACGGCTATTCCACAAAATCTTTTATTCGGTCGTCCGTATGCATAAAGATTAAGAAAGACAAAAAAACAATAAGATAAATAGAAAGGTTTTCTTCTCACGTTAAAGCAATTTCAAAAGTTGTATCGAGGACCGTTGTCAAAAGAATACTAATGCGGGGCGTGCGATTCGGTATTTGGGGCATATATATACACCTGATGTACATCGAGGACATCTGAAGGTTTTTGTGAGAATTTTTAGATTGTTTGTACCTGCGACCACATTCCCATTCATTGTGATCTACAATAAATTAATTGCATTCCAAAAATAGCATTAACTGGTGACCGAAATTTAAAGCCTAGTGCGTTGTATTCTACATATGTATATATGAGCAATTCGACTGAAAATGTTTTACATTAGATTTGTTTTTTGACTTTACTCTATTTAATGACTTCCAATGTATTTTATATTATGTGTGATGGTATGTTATTTCAGATTGATCTGATCTGATTATATTGTATTTAACTCGTTTGTTTTGTTAATTTAATTATAGCTATTAATGCATAAATGAAAATATTCGTACACCAGAAATGGTAGAATATAAGAAACTACGATTAATGTAGTTTTTGTAGTAATTATTAATGTAATTTCGTTTTTTTGTTAAAACATAACAAAAAAAAATACGGTAAGGGGAACCGAATAACACGACCATTTTCTGTCATTTATGAATGACTACAAGACTTTTCTTTACTTTTCAGTTAATATTTAATTATTTATGTACTACGGTTCTCTTCATTTTTAAATAATCGTTTTAATTGCAAAGTATAAAAAACTGACTAATTTAGAGTAGTGTTTTTGATAGTTCTCGTATGAGCTTGTATAATAATGTCAATTTTGTCTGTTTTTAATAAAAGAGTTAAAGTTTATCTATTATCCTTATTTATTTTGTCGATGCGATCTTGAAATCTTGTACTTTACATAACTTTCACTATGCGGGTAATGATCAAGTCATTAAGGTTTTCGGGCTTACGAAAGAAACTACGAGTACATATTACATTCATATACGTTCTTCTTACGAAGTCGAGTAAAGAATTACACGTGTTTGTTTTGTCTATCACTCTGACAACTGATAAAACGCAATTCAATATTGAATGATATTTATCACATCTCAACCGGTTTTGAAACTTTAGGTGAAAATTGATTTCCCAACTTTTTGATGTAGCCAGAGGCAGTTCTTAACAATTTTCTTAGAGCGTTTGTATACCGAGATAGCGATCATTTTGAGTAAAACACGAATACGAATTTAATACGAATATGTGCGTGACTTTAAAATTATAAGTACACTTTACAACTAGTAAAGTACTTCTTCATAGTCAACAACCCTCACTTGAGTCACACTTTGAGATCGAGTCACACGTCAATCACTTTATAAAGTTTTACATTTTATACTAAGTTATTTTATTTCGTTGGAGATATATACTTAGAAGTATGGTATGTAAGTTGTCATTGTTTTTTGCATTAAACTTAGTATGGCGGTTACCTACTATTGTACAATTTTTTTTGCTTTGCACCACTTTGACTTAAAAATGCTGGATGTGTTTAAAAAAAATTAAACAAATACAATTCTTGTTAATATTTAGACTTTATTGGTC